GTTGTCTTTCAGGAATCCACAGTCTGGGAAGGATCAGACTCAATGACCAGAAGAGCCCTCGCATTGATTTTACAATCAGCAAACTGCTCCTTAACTGCTTTGGCGGGGGGGAAGGATTGGCCTATTGGTTTGAAAATTGATGGTGTTGGACACATGAAAAGTTTTGCACTCACAGGAACAAACCAGCACACAAACACACACATGTGCAGGTCATTCACTCACATCCTGACGGCATGTGTGTAAAATCTTAACACCTCCAAAATGGTCCATTAGCTTCAGAATTGATAGCATCACAGAAACCACACACCACACCAACACACAGGGCCACCTTTAACTGAGCGTGTGGCTCACACACGCTGGTCCGTGAAAAAGGGTCATTTAAAGATCCATCGCCATCTGTTTTGGCCCCAGCATGCCATTTTCCCCCTCTCTGGGGGCCTTTGATTTAGCACAAAAGGGTAACATTGCTTCCCTGTTTCCCACTGTGCAACCAGACATCCAGTCTGAGCAGGTTACACAAATCAAACACTGACGGGCATCCATCGTTTCATCATAGGTATGACCGCCAGTGTTGGTGTTAATCACAAACATCAGGGGTCCAATTTGAAGGCTGATCAGGGAACCTGTTTGTTGTGGGTGTTGCAGCTACATCACATCACCAGACAAGAGTGATTGAGAGGCAGGAGGAAGCAGGTGGATGATAAAATCTGAAGCACTGCCTTGCAGCAAAGGTATTACAATAATCAGAATTTCTGGACAAACCTCAATTGAGCAAACATGCGTATCCACACTTTCTCCAAGATACAATTTAGTTTAAGGGCATGAATCTGATGTGTGTCATCATGTTGGCCGCGGCTCTCAATTTGTATGCTTGTGGAAATAGAAACACCAATTTAAATAAACCTAGAGGCATTTCTCTAAATCTTTGCCATGCATTAGCCCCACTAATAAAGGCTTTGTATTTTTTCATATCGACAGCGCCGTATCAAGGCTGTTTAATTTGTTTTGCATCAAAATAAATCACCCCTGAGCCCAAGAGCAAATTGTGGGATATTTTACACATATATTTCCAAACAGACTTTCTTGCCTTTGGACATTTTTTATTTGTGTATTACCCCTAATACAGTAAATGCACTTTCGGTTGTCTGATGGAGTAAATCCACTCTAATCAACCTGTTTCTAGTTGCAGGCAGCTTTAGGCAGTTTTAATCAGGAAGCTCTGGAAACAACAGATATTATGCATTTCCATCAGGAGCTGGTATAGAGACCCAAAACAGAGCTAATGGACGTGTAAATACTGGACTTTCATCATTCAACTGACCAGAATCATGACTCTAAATAACGCTAATGCTCAAATTTGTTTTTTTAACATAACTTATAATGGGGTGGCTTCCACTAACTAGAAAGTCGGCAATCCCCCATTGTCCTTCGTAAAGATACTGAACCCCAAACTGCAGACACTACACCTCTGTTAGTATTTACTCTGTGACATTAGAGCTTAATGTCTCCATGTCTCTGAGAAACCATCGTTTAAGTCCCCATAAAGAAGGTCTAAAGATGTTTCACCTGCATTCCGCTGCCCAAAACAGGCAGGCACACAACCTGGAATGACACACACGTGGATGGAGACTGTGGCACCACCTTCCTAAATGAAAAACATGAACAGACAAAGGCTGTAGCACATGGGGAGGTGATGCAAAGAGAGGAAAACAAGAAACTACTATTGTGTGTGAGTGTGTGTGTGTGTGTGTGTGTGTGTGTGTGTGTGTGTGTGTGTGTGTGTGTGTGAGACATTGCTGATACTGCCCAATAAAATGTTCCATTTTCTCAGTGTTTTTTAAAATTACACTTTCCAGTTTCAGGTCAAAGACACTTGTTAGGTTACCTTTAGAAAAAGCACAGGAACATTCTTTTGTACTTTTATGCACGAGAGATCTAAACAACTACATGAGACTGCATTGCATATTCAAATAAACTCGATCATCAACCTCTTGGAAAACAAGTCATCACACTTTCAACGGTTGCAGCTATGCCACGCCCTATCCACCTACCCACCCCTGCACCAAAGGCAACTTCAGGTAGTTTTCCCAGGATTAAAAGCTCATTCGGTCGATGTAACTTGCAGCGGCATGTTTGTCGAAATGATGGAACATGTTGATTGTAGCTTCTGCTGCATTAACGTCGTCCATGATTGATACCTACAGATTTCTTTTCTTAAATAAAGGATTTGATTATGGATATTTTCTTCAGCAACTTGAGTTGTAGCTGATACTTTCAATAAAAAGATATTAAAAATGGTTTTATGATGGGAGCTGGCTGTTTTTTGATTTACAAAGCTCTAATTCAAGAGCAGCACTGAGTCAACTGAGATTCGGTGACGCACTTACATTTCTTAGCCTCCAGAGGGCAAATGCACACATATCTACAAGCTGTCTTGAAGACATGTCCATCCACTGCCACTTTCTGCTTTTAAATAGTTCTGTATAAGCTTGTGTGCATGATATAATTATTTGTCTAGCACACTCTGCTATATGAAGCTGTAGGAAGGTTGAGGGCGAAATGAACTCTTAAATAAATAGGAAGTGTTGTTATGAATTCAGGAGGAGACGATGCAGGGAGAGGAGGAAAAAGGGGGAAAGGGAGGGATGGAGAAAAGTGGGAGCGAATGGGAAGGAAAAGAGAGGGACAAGCTGAAAGAATGACAGGATGGGAGCGTCATTCCCTCCGCTCAGTCCCAAGGGGGTGAAAGTGGGAAAAAGTCAGAGTTCAAATGCTAGGAACGGGAGGTCACACTTTTATGTCGACAGAAGTGTGTGTCTCTGAGGAGAGGCGACAGTGCAGAGCAGCGGAGAAGAGAAGCACTGGTGTTGTTTGAGTCAGAGGAGGAAGGAGCTTGTTTGGCCTGAGTGTGTGTCCAGCACTGCCACTACACTGTGACAGCTTTGAAGCTTGAGCGACTGACCTCAAGAAAAGGTGTTAGTCCTGAATGTTGACATGAGAGAATCTGTCGATCCTCAGTACTGCTGAACTGATGGAGCAGAAGAAAGACAAACCTTCATATCCACAAGGGAGATGGTCTCTTTTTAAGGAAATAGTTTACATTTCCTTAAAAGTAAATTTTGGGGAATTCCATAGGGTTAGAAGACACAGCATAGCAAAACCAAATGTTAAATATTTAAAATGTGTAGACACCTTATAATTCATGTAAACACAAGAACAGGGAGAGAGTGGGATGTATCTCTCGTATTTATTTATTTAAGCCTACTTCTGCCAGTTCTTCCAGGATTACGGACCCTGGCTATAAATCATCTGCTTGCCAAACATGGAAATACCACCCCCCGTTTATTAGTTTAGTATAAAATAATCCAATCTAGCGGCACCTATAAAAACAAAGAGCTTAAAGAAGTCACCTAATCAAGACGTAGTGCGGTACATTGTGTCATTTTACACTTCGGTTGCTGTTTGGATTAAACAGAAGATATATAATGTGCTGAACTGATTTTTTTTTACCTTTGGGCACAACCAGGCTAGCAGTTTCCACCTGCTTCCAGTCTTGGTGCTCAGCTAACTACACACTCCATGCTCCACTCTATTACATTGTATATTAACTGTACAGAGAGTGGTATCAATCTTCTCAACTGTCACAAAAAAGAAAATCAGGCATCTCTCTCGTCAGGACAAATCGATATAATGGCGGCAGGACTTTAAAATCACTTGCAGCATTATGAAGTGACAATACAACTTAAAAATAAACACTTGCTTTAATGTGGTTTGGATTTGAGGCAGGCTGTGGTGGTGTCAGCCCACACATTATAACATTGTTCTGAGGTGTGTCGACACTGTACATGGAAGTAGCTGCAGAAATCCTAATCTCAGTTTAGGGGTGTGAATACTTTATATTGATTTTAGGTGACACGGTGGCTGACCAAGCCTTTTACTATATCAGGCTGAATCCAATAAAACTCAGGAGTGGGTTTGAATTCTTTCCAAAGCCGGCAGATAAAAAAGATTCTTGTGATAGCTGCTGGGAAATGAATTACACAGGTTAAACATACATGTGCTTCTTTCTCTCTTCTAGGAAGATGCACAGAGGTTCAGGCACTGGTGTTGCTACACACTTACACATTCCTGTTCTTTCCGCACATGTTTATTAGATTCGTTGAATAAGTGCTTGTGTTGCTGTGAATAAAAGATTTACAGTGATGGTGACAAAGAGAAGGACTGAGAGAGGGGCCGAGGCACCACGCCAGGGCACAGATGAGCTCATTGTTGAAACAGGGATTTCCACATTTCCATGTCTGTGTGCCCCCATGCCATGACACAGAGCAGGAAAACAAGAGGCGAGAGGAAAAGGGGGCGCACATAGGGCACACACACACATAAACACACACAGCTGTATGCTAATATGTACAGTAAGCATGATGCGCACACTAACACTTAACTATGGCATAAGAAAGTAAGGTCGATGATTTCATTCAGCACACAGGACATCAGTGAAAAAGTTCAGTGAAGCTCCTGAAACACACTCAGGACGGAGTTCTGTCTTTTTTATTGTTTTGTCTCACACCCACAATTATACAATAGTATAATTTAGAAAAAAATACATAGGGCAGAAAACAAAAGTAGCCCTCACACATATTTTGTAAAATCAGCCAGGCAGTGAAATGACTGGCAGCTACATGAAAACACACAACAAGCAGGCATAGGACACACACACACACACCCACACACACACACACACACACACCCACCCACCCACACACACACACACGCACACACACACACACCCAAACACACACTAGCTCTACCTCTTTTCTGTCAATAGGGCTTGGCCTGCAAGGTCTCCATAGCAACCACACCACGCCCCTCGGGGTTTGCAGGGGAGGTGTTTTGAAAGTTAACTCTGTGTGTGTGTGTGTGTGTGTGTGTGTGTGTGTGTGTGTGTGTGTGTGTGTGTGTTTGTGTGTGTGTGTGTGTGTGTGCGTTTTCCTTTAGAGGACCTTTTCCAGCATAAATAGGGACCAGAGCCTCGGTCCCCATGAGGCTACACCATTTCTGACGTCCTGGTTCAGATTAGAGGTTCGACATGAACTGATCATGGTGGAAGTTAGAGATAGTGTGTGTGTGTATGCGTGCGTGCGTTGTGTGTGTGCGTGTGTGTGTGTGTGTGTGTGTCATAGAGCGACAGAAAGGGGCGTGGATGTGGAATCCACTCCAAGAAGTAAAAGCAGCCGGACCTCCGTCCCCCTCTCCTGGAGCCAGCAGCAGCAGCAGCAGCAGCGTCAGTGAGCTGAAGTCAAAGTTCCTCCTGGTGTTAAGTTGTTCGGGTGAATCATCGCACCGCAGCGGGACATCTCTCCACCTGTGAGCCATGGAAGAAGACGCGTCCCACGCCGAGGCCAGCAGCGTGTCGGGCAGCACCCACACCATCCCGCAGCAGCAGCAGCCCGAGAACACGGAGCTCCTCACCCCGAGCTTCAGCCCGTCCTCCGCGCCGTCCTCCCCGACCCCGACGGGCACCCTGTCCCGGCTCGGCTTCAGAAGTCCCACCAGCTCGACCTCGGCGGCGCCGGGCAGCCCCGTGGCCGGCGGCCAGGTGAGCGCCATCACCGTGGTGGCGCTGCTGGACAAGCTGGTCAACATGCTGGAGGCGGTGCAGGACAACCAGCAGCGCATGGAGCAGCGGCAGGCCGACCTGGAAGGCGCCGTGCGGGTGGTGCAGGGCGACGTGAGCCGCCTGAGCAAGACCCACGTCAGCACCTCTAACTGCGTCAGTAAGCTGCTGGAGCGCTCCCGCAAAGTCAGCACCCACCTGAAGGACGTGAAGGAGCGCATGGACAAGCAGGCGGTCCAGGTGAAGAAGCTGGAGGCCAACCACAACCACCTGCTGAAGAGGAACCACTTTAAAGTGCTCATTTTCCAGGTGAGGGGACGATTCACAGCAGCAAACAGCCTGTTGGGTTATAGGTTAGGAACTCTCAAGGGTCCCTCCACCTATCGTTCTCATGAAGTTCCCTTTATTGGTCAGAGAACTGCTGGGTCCCCCTGGTGATTTCATCCTCAATCTCATTTTGGGCTATCAACACAACTGAATAAAAGTTATGCCAATAAAAGGTCACAACATCTTGGGATAGGCCTATGTAGGAAGTACTTGAAAGTATGCACCCAAACTTGATAAGCAGTATGGGTGCTGGCAAGAGAAGCAGCAAAATCCCAACCTATGTCAGCACATAGACAATGCTCCCACACACTTTGTGATAAAGTTTGTAATTACCTGCAAGGTTAATAAAAAGTTTGTGGGAGCATCAACTCTTGTGCAGACATATGCTGATGCAGGGTCTAGTGTTTTCAGAGCTGGATCCATACTAGACACTAGTAGAGATGTGTGTGTGTGATATTTGCATTCTTATTTGCAGTAGAGTGAGTGTTTTGGTGCCTGTGTCTTCTTGTCATGTGATATGTCACATGCTGTAGGTGAGCAGCACTTTATTCGCACTTTATCTCAACTCTTTAGAAACTTGTAAAACAAGACACCAGCTAATTTCTCAAATGCTGTGGGAGAGTTATTTGCTGTTTTGTGACTGTGTAAATACACTTCAAACACACCTTGACTAACTAAGAAGATTGTTCCCGCTCATACCATGTGTGTGTGTGTGTATCAAAGAGAGAGAGAGAGAGAGAGAAGAAGAAGAAGGGTGTGTCTGGGAATGGAGCTGCAGAAGATAATAGAGCAGGGCTCAGACACTGACTGAGTGGATCTGTTTACACCCCACAGTCATAATTCAGACAGACTGATGGCTTCTGGATGATTTTACCACTTTAACTGCCACATCACACCTTTGAGGGTAAAACTCTATACTGGCACTGAGCAAGTGACAAACTTCCCAGATTCCCTCAGGAAATTACGACTCTAAAATGAGTGGAATAATACTCCCATAACCCATCGCTACCATCCAACTTCTCCTGCTTACATAGCACGTAAAAGATAGAATTAAACTCGAGCAGTTTTGATTCTTGAAAAAAAGGCATGATATCCGAGTAGGATTTGTGTGTAATGTGCATGGTTTTTACTTTGATGTGTGTGTGTGTGCGTGGGTGCCTCTAAGCGTGTGCATACAAGTGTGTGTGCCCGGGCAGTGAAAATAAAGAGGGGTGGGGGGCATTGTTGACACAGCCAGAGCCACTGAGAGCTCTTAACTGCCGTTGTTATCTGGTTTCCCAGGTACTGAGGCCCTGTTGTTCAAATGCAACAGGTGCCAAGACCTTTCCCCTGCACAACAAGGCGGCTCTGTGTGCCTGTGGGCGGGTCACTGCCGATCGATTTGTTTGAATCCCTGGTTAGTTTTTTTTAATGTGCAAGAAGGGAGTGATCTGCTGCTTTAGAGATAGTGTGAGTGGACGGTGCTGCCTTTGACCTTTGTCATACTATCGTGTTACTCACAGGCTCCAGGTACAAGTGCTGATCTGACTTCTGCTGAGTTTTCTCCTCTAATTTTCAAACTGATGGGTGGAGGATTTGCAGATGGGTGTAGCAGAGCCAGGCCACCTCAAGGGCGTGTGTGCACATCGTGTGTAATGCGTGCAGCCTGCCCATTGGATGTTTTATGCTGATGTGTTGGGTCAGGTGTATGCAGTTACAGAGCTGGTATGAGGCTTGGCTTGCCTGAGGCGAGCAGGGAATAAAAGAACTAAGTGCAGCCCTTGTTCCTTCTCCTGCGTTGCCTCTTTTCTGAGTCTGTCAATTTCTGCACCATCTCATCTCTCTTTTTTGCCTCAGGTATTTAGTTTTGTTCTTGATTTTCTCCTTTTTTGTCTTTTATTCAAACTCAAACTTGCATGTGACCACTTTTTTCTGTGTTCGGTTAAGCCACCTGTCATGGTTCCCTGACAACAGACCAAAGCACATGCTGCACGCCTCACGGTATCTTTGATAACGCACGTTTTGCCATGCACCCAAGAGCCAAGTTCTCTGTGCCAGCCCTGTAGCTTCTGGCCGAGGGGCCCTCCTCCTCCTTTGCTCCTCACTTGACCGAGCCGGAGCAAAATACTCATTGCCCTGTACGTGCCAGCTGAGGTGGAAACACAGGGGGCTTCTGGGTAAACGCTCTCTGTTGCACAGAGCAGGGGTCTCTACAAGCTCTGGGCTTTGGCTGCAGCCGGTCAGAAATGACAGCACTTTCTAACGCTCTGCTGGGTTCCTGTGCATAACATGGACTAATGAGGATGTAATTACTGCTGCTTGGACCTTGTTTGTTTGTTTTTGTGCACCAGTGCTTTTTGTGTCTCCACACAAGCCCCTCCCCTTATCTAGTCCCTTTCTCCTTCACACACAAACACACACACAATAACATGTGCATCACACACGAATCCCATCTGAGGATTCCAGTGTGTACAGTGCAGTAATTACTGTTTGTGAAGGCATCATATTTTGCATTGGATTACACACACATTTCTTTTTGTATTATTTGTTGCACCAATTAATTACAAAAAGTCTCTTTACCTGAGTGTTTAAATGACAACAGTCACACTGGAGCTCTTATAGTGTATCTTATTAGCATCACCGGGGTATCCTACATTAAATGCAGCGTGTTTCAAATTAAATCTCCTGTGACAGAAATCTTTTATTTCTGAGTTGATCTTAATCTGCCCATCTGTGTTTATTTTACTGTGCAATTTCATCACAGCAAACAAGTCAACCACGTTGGCAAACTGAATCCGAAGGCTGCGAGAATACAATTTGTTCTCCGGGTTTGCACACGCGAGCCCGATGCAGAGCTCCACTGGATACTTAGTGGTGAGAGGGGAGTCATGTGACTCTCTCGGTGGGATGAGAGGAGGATGTGTGGTGGTTGTCTGTGTTTTTTGTGGACTTCTAATCGCAGGGAGATGGAGAGTGACGATGGTCGGAGCTCTCACATACAATCAAAGAACTTTCATAACACATTGCAAGGAAAGAGAAATATACTCCAGAGCCTGAGTAAACACAGTGACTGCAATGGTAAGTTTTGCTGCAGGAACTGTGATGGAAAGAGAGTTGACTCCTTTGGTTCTCATTCTTTAGTTATACATGTATGAAGGGATTCAAGGATTCATTTAACCCTGAATGAATATATTTTAAAGTCACTATGTGTTAATTGTCAAAGTTTCCATCCATCATCACTGGATGCTCACAAAGGTTTTGAGTGACTGGCTTAACTCGACTCATTGTCACTTGGTATGCTCTGCTACCAGTCGTCATAGAGCTTTTGTGTACAGACACTTGACCGAAGATTGTGACATAATCTTGCCTTTCAGCATCAGGATGTTTCCCAACACTTTGTTCATGCACTTAAGATGGAGGACAAACTGGGAATTCCAGCCTCACCCAAAACTCTTACCTTTACTGTAGTCAAATGCCACAGCGCTCTGTAATCTCACATTAAATCAAAATAAATATTGCTCGAATAACAGTTTACAAGGTCATTAGATGCAGATGCCAGGTCCGGAAAGTGAAGCCAATGTGGCAGTGCCTGAAACAGCGACTCCACTGGTTGCAAAAGAAGCCAGTTTCAGTAGAAATCTATCTTCGCAATTAATTAAGAATGTCAGTAAACATTTTCTGACAGAGTTTGTGGTTTCATTCACTATTTTCAAGACTTCTACAATTCAGCATGATTTTCTTTGTAAATGATGGTTCCATTGAGAGTCTAATAGAAGATAGTATTAGATAGTTAGGTATTCAGTCACAGCTTGTACTGCTAAATGGGTGCAGGTCACAGGTGAAGGTGGGCATACAGTGTCCCCGACCCTCACACCGGCTCCACCCCTGCTCCTCCAAATATGGTTACTTCTGTTTTTCAAAAACTCGCTAAACTCGTTGCTTCAAAACAGCCGTTCGAAAAGCAACGGTCGACATTACTGTTGGTTTCCACTCCTCAGGATCTTGTGCGTACAAGTACACAATTGACACAAATTAAGCTTTACTACAGGAAACTCCTTTAAAGCCTGTCTCTGAAGACAAGAACGAGGGTAGACGCAGCAATTAAGAATATTGAGTGCTTTCCTTGCCCCAAACATGATGTGTTCGGATGTTATTATGTATTTGAGCATTATTAGAGTGTACATATTGCGTGCGTGTTCTGGGCAGAAACCCTACATTATTATGTTGTATCCATTTCCACAGGTTGGAGCAGGCCACTGGCTGTAGGCTAGAGCTGAGATTTGTTGAGTGTCTCTCTCTGGAGCAGGTGATATACTGCACCAGCTTATAGCCCAGAGCACTGCTGTTTCAGGGAGTTCAGTCATGTAGGGTCTTGATGTTACCAGGCTTCAACCTGTATTGATCTTATATAATAATAGTAGTAGGGTGATTAACTCATAGTATCATGGTGGTTGCTGTAACTTATTTCACTGTTGCCACCGTGGACAAAGACAAAGTGAGACAAAAAGACATTTAGAAACTTAGTGTATGTTTATTTATGTATTGTAATTATACAACTTGTGGTGTAGGGTCCTGTGTCATGACAATGTGATTAATTTGTTTCACTTGTTAGTATTCTGACTTTTTGACGGAGCCTTCACTGTCTGGCCAGGGGTTAGCTGGAAGATATGATCTTAACTTCATGTCTGGGTGAAAAGTCCAGAGACAGGTGTGGTGTGTGAGGGATGTGGCTATCTTCCACAAAAAAAGGGAGAAATATGTAAAGAAGTAACACAGGAGGTGTTTTATATACATGGTGTAAGTAATATTAGCCACTAGTGAACTTTGAGTTTTGTTTGGAGTATGTAAACTAAGGGCAGGACTTAACTACAGAGGCTAGTATTGGTCCAACATCTGTTGACCTGGCGGCTCGGGAAACATAATTTTTTAATGTTTTACGAATTCTTCCTGTGTTGAGTATGAAAAATACAAAATGTGGATTGTGGAGGATCTGGAGCTGTGTT